GTGGCGGGGGGGGGGGGGGGGGGGAAGGTAAAAGGCATCCATCAAATTGGACAAAAGCCATCAAGATTTGCTGTTGGGTTTTTCTTGAAAAGATAACAGTCCTGCTACGAAATTTGATCTGGGTCTTAGCCCAAGAATGAATGGATCACTGCTCCCTAGTTTCTGGAAGGAGAGAATAGCCGAATAACGAGAATTTTGTCCTTAAAGTTAGGATTGAACTAGAGACAATCTACAAAGATTTTAAATCTGAAAGGATTGAAGTCAGGTGTGCGGTACAGGAACGAGGGAGACAATAAAGAAGAAGAAATGATGAAGTTGTCAGGGTTCGATGGGGAGGCTGCAGTGAAAGGTCTCTCAGCCACTGTTAGCCTTGTAAACTGAAAGGATTGCATCTTTTACACCAACTACATTCCTCATTCAATCTGCCACGGTGCCAGCCATTTCCCCTCTTTTACCATTCAGATTTTTAGTTGTAAATGCATGGTCGAATGTATCGGATAAGGATAATGTCAGCTGCATCTAATAGATATTAACTTGAATGTACCTGAACAGGTAGACATTTTTCATATTTGATTGTGTTCGGGGGAAACACGAAAGTAAAAGATTGGGTATAGAGGTAGGTATAGATATTAATCTTTATACATGTTTAATATTTAAAAATATATTTTTATTAAAATTTTATATTATTGTATTATACTTAAAGTATCATTAAATTCTTTAACTTAAGTATGTTTTATAATAATAAATCTAATAATATAAGATAGCTTTAATTTATGATAAATGTTCATTTTAAATACAAGCATATCTCACGATTCAAATGATTAATTGATATAATTAATTATTAAAAATAAAAAGATAAAGAGAGGGCTAAAATTAGAAAAGAGATGTTGGTTCAGTACAAACTGAAACACTGTTAAGTCATTGAGTCATATGAAAAGCTGTAGAACTTGGATTTGGATCTGCTTTATATAGATGGAAAGCTAAGAGATAGATCTAAAATTTTCATAGAAGTCCAAGATTTAAAAGAGTTGTTTTTAAGTTCAAATTGTAGAAATAATAAAAAAGTTGAAATATATCCTGCAACCCAAACATTATTCAGTGTTCAGCCCATATCTCGAGTTCTAGAAGTCCAAATGAACTCATTTTTTTTGTTTATAAGGTGAGACAATTTCCTAGAGATAGTCCAAACTGGAACACTGTTAAGTCATTGAGTCATATCAAGAGCTGTAGAACTTGAATTTGAGTCTGCTCTATATAGATGGAAAGCTAAGACATAAACCTAAAATTTTCATAGAAGTCCAAGATTTAAAAGAGTTGTTTTTAAGTTTAAATTGTAGAAATAATAAAAAAGTCGAAATATATCCTGCAACCCAAACATTATTTAATGTTCAGCCTATATCTCGAGTTCTAGAAATCCAAATGAACTCATTTTTTTTTGTTTGTAAGGTGAGACAATTTCCTAGAGCTTTCATGAAGACAATCTGTTCAAATTCTAAAGCTAGCAATGACGTTTTATTCAGATAAAAAAATAAAAATTATCATCAAGTTAAGATGTGGTCACCCACTCAATAATTAATCAAAAATCAATAGTTTTAAATTTTAACCTATAAAAGGAGGCATTTGTCGTGCATTTAGGTATCTTAGTTTTCATATCAAGATCATGTTCTTGCTTTCTCTCTTTTTATTT